GTATATATATATATTTTTTTTTTATTTAGCAATTGTGTATGTATGCGTATGTCTACATAGACATATAAATGACATTTAATTTAATCTGGGTTTTTTAGTAAAACTACGTTGGCGTTCACTTCGTTACTTGTATCCGCTGTCCAAACAGATTTTATCCAAATAAATTTTTCCAGTACCATATAAGAATATCTAGAAAACATATCTCGTATATTTTACTGGCAAGAATTTCAAATACAAATTTACTGATGTTCAGTTTTCTAAAGAAATAGAAAAGTTTGTCAGCTTGTCAAAGGAATACATTGGTACATACAAATGAAGTAATCATGCACATCAGTTAAGTTTACAAGCATTATTTTTTCTTCTCTTTCTTATTGGTAACGAAAGAAACATTATTATGATATTTTATCGTGAAAATATCAATGGAATTGGAGAAGGCTCCTCTGGGTAGCTCCTCATCTTACGCGGCATGTCTTGCGGATTGATTTTATCGCTGGTCATTTCTTCGAAAAACTTCTATGAATTTAACAGTGAACATTTTATAAATATTTTGAAATACGCTCAAAGTTGTGAATTTCTGATATACAATTCTTCAATAGTGACTCTGTCATATATATGTATGGTTCGATATACGTATTCGATCAAGAATTAACAATGTTCATTGGTGTATCAAACATAAAGATCTGACTGGTTTTCTCGAATATTAGCCAGAAAATCATAGCTAAGCAAAGCAAGCAAATGAAGATAATATCCATTCATTAAATCTACTCGGAATAGAATCAAGGCTATATTTAAAATGTCTACTGAAATTTTTGGATTGAAAATATATGGAATTTAAATGAGACTAACATCATCTATATTTCGTACGAACATCTATTTTATTTGAGCTGCTGTAAAAGATCAGTAAGCCTCATTCTGAGAACTTTAATATTATATTTTTGTTATGATTTATGATTTGATATACATATATAGATACATACATAATTACCTTTTAGGAGCGATTCCACCAATATAAGATTAAATGTAATCCAGATTCAATTTACTTTTTATTTTTTCCTAATTCTAAAACCTCAACAGCATAAAAGTTGCAATATTGTAGAAATATTACGCATTGCAGCAATATTGCTGCAAGCTTTGTGCTATTGAGAAAATTTAAAAAGATAAACAATAAGTAAAATCAAGATTAAAGTTGATTTTACATCGATGATCTTAGAAATTCTTGTACATAATCTTGTACATAATCTGTCAGAATTTTAGTCGTCTATTATAACATTTGCAGACTCTTATCCATGTGAATCAAGGATTATTACGTGCACTGGATATCGCATCCAAATCTAGACATTATTTGCGCAACTGCGCGGGATTTTTCACTTGGAGAGAAGATCACTAATAATGGCGGATATGGGTATGCATTTATTCTGCTACCAAACAGCACAAATGAATTCATTCAAGAATTTATCAAAACATTCGAGTCGCATAATTTTCCTGCCAAGACAGCCACTTTGAATTGCAACGGATTGCATTGATTTGAAACTCGAGTAGTATGTTGAAATCAATAACTTATTTGTCATCAGTAATTAAATGTAAACAATGAATAATTCATGTTAAGAACGCACGTTGTGAAGAAAAATAGAATTTTATATAATAATTCTGTACGTGCGGGTGTTGACGGATTATATAAGTTGTATTTACATTTATATATGTTTTGATTTGTATATATGTTTGTATGATTTGAAATTATTGAACTAAATTGTCCTTACATAAAAGAAATCGTTTCTTTATTACGTTATAAACGTAATAAACGCTCTGAAAGACATTGCCTCTTAGTTCTATTATTCATATACTAAAGATGACGATAAATCAATCTGACAATTGCAAATTTTCTAATTGCTAAATTTTAGTCATCATCTTTGATTTGTATCAAGAGAAAGCTCTTATTATTACATTAAAAGTAATATTTCTCATATTATAAATACATATTGTAACGTTTTCAATTTCAATAATGAAGAATAGGAAATGTAATACAAGGTACATAAAAGAAATGAAGATAAAAGGCGTTATCTTACTGACATCATTAGATCAAAAGGATAAGCCGAGAATCTGGTCTGTTGCATCTTATTAGATCTTTTTCCCGCATGGATCGCAGAGAATCAATAATGAATTGGTAATGAATTATATTTGTCGCAGTCAGTGTTTCATTAATAATACAACAAGAAAAATCACGCACAAAATCTGTGAATTTTGTAAATGTAAATTCTATTTATCAAAGCAAGAAAATCGTTCACAAGTATAACTTAATGTATTATATTAAGCCTTCTAATAAATTTTAATATAATATATTAAGTTATACTTGTGACTTATTAGAAGTCTTAATATAATACATTAAGTTATATTTGTGAATGATTTTCTTGCTTTGATAAATAGAATTCACATTTATAAGATTCACAGATTTTGTGTGTGACTTTTTACGATCCATAACACCTGTTGTTCGGATAATAAATAAATTTTTTGTCGCGAAAGTGATTATGTATATATTCTAGGTGTTTGCGCTGGGCACGATTCTTTTATGTGAAGAACGTAACTAAAGTTGTGTAGCAGCCGGCTTAGACATGCGTATCTTACATTCTCTTCATTTCCTATAGAAGTAATTCGAAGACAATTTATCGAAATAAGTTAAGTATTCTCCAATGTTCGATTACACATGAAGATACTTTTACGCATATTTCTCTTACATTTTTGTAATAAAAATTACGATCACATACCTAATCGTTCTGAGTTGTTTAAGAGAGTGAAAAAATTATATTACCTAATTGACGAGCTTCCCCGGCAATTACAAACCCAATAACCACGCACATCAATTAAGCTTAAAAGCTTTTTTTTTCTTCTCGTTTTTATTAGCTACAAAAAAGGCATCATTATAAAATCATCTTTCATTGTGAAACTATCAACGGAATTGCCGATCGGTGAGGATCTGGGCAATTCGGCCTCGTTTGTGATATGTCTTGTGATATGTTTTTGGCGCTGGTCCCTGCTGCAGAAAGGAAAAATCCGATTAAAGTCTAAAGATCTCTTATATATCACGAAATATGCTTCCGATAAGGCTATATTATACAATTTTTCAAATATAATCGACATCGTAATATCCACGTATAGCATGATAAAAGTATTCAAAAAGGAGGCATGACAGAAATACGATTTTTTTGACGTGCATGAAGATCCTGCTGGTCTTTTCGAATGTTAGCTAGAAAATCGAGCGAAGCATGGAAATGAAAATGAAAGAGCATCTATCTTCTTCCGTTGATTTTATTCTAATATCGAGACTATATCGAAAAGGTTTATTCGAACGCTTCAGAAGATTAATTATAAAATGTGTTTCTTGAAACTGCCGAAGATCGTTGAAACTAATTCAATTCATCTAAAAAATTATTATAAAAGATTGAAAGAAATGATAAGTCTCATTCTACGAATTTTAATAATTTAATACACTTGTTTGTAACTGTCTCTTACAGTCATCGTGATTATTTTTCCCGTACATATAGCTATACGTTGATAACTTTAATTTTTCTAACTTTACAGTTACTTTACAGGATCTCATTGACATGAATCAGGGACTACTAAGAGCATTAAGGCAGATCATATCCAAACCTAGACATTATTTGCAATTGCGCAGGATTTTTCACTTGGAGGAAAAATCGCAGCTAGCAGCGGAGGTAGATATGCATTTATTTTTTTGCTATCAAACAACTCAGATGAATTAGTCCAAGATCTGATCGAGATATTTGAGTCATATAATTTCTCTGCCAAGATAGTCAGTTTGAATTGTAGCGGAGTAAGAGTTGAATAACATCACATATTGAAATCAGTAATTTACTATAAGTAGTTGAATGTAAACAATGAATAGAAAAAGCTCATACTAAGAATATTATGTAGAAAAGTTCTACATAATACATTTTATACGCATTAATGGACTAAGTACAGAAATATGCATTTATCAAGTTTAGAAAAAATAACAGAATAATAAAATAATATAAGATATTTGCTTCTAAGTATATGTAATTAAATACATATTAATTATATATGTATTTATTCTCTCTAAATCTGAATCAGTGGATTGTTCAATGGCATATACTTAGCACCGATAATTAGTAAAGTTCAACTAAGAAAGGAAAAATGTTTGAGCATTATATAAACTAAAATACTGACATATGCACGTTAATTCCAATTTTCAAATAACGTATTCATTGAATTTAAGTACTAAAACAAGAAGTTGAATCACATAATAAAGATTAAGTAGATTAGGGATCTCATATTTAATTTACTGATTACCAGTGACATACCTGGCACTGATATCAGTGATTATATATCGGTGATTCAGATTTAGAAAGTAAATATAATATAACATATCAGTGATTCAGATTTATAAAGTAAATATAATATACACAAATATATATAATATAAACATAAAAATGTATGTAATAAGCATAATATAATAAATGATTTACACGTACAATAATAAATAGAATTTGATATCGTTATTACCTTACTATAAGCAAATATTTTATTATCTATTTTATTATTTTATATTTTATTATCTTATATTAGATACGAAACTTTATTAATTTTTGTAACAATAAACTCATAAGAAGATTCCTATTCATTACGTTAATAAAAACGTGAAATTACATGGAAACAGATGACAATGACAATTACCATAATTGCTGCTCTTTGATATATAGACAAAGATGTATTCAGTCGTATTATATTTACAATTGTGTTTATGTTCCGACTGTTTATATGCCATTTATCGAATTAAATTATTCTCACAAAAAAGAAATCGTTCTTAATCTCAATAGTTCAATTTAGAGAAAAAACAGCTTTACAATTGTCACAAAATTCTTGAACATGAATGATTTATATATTTAGATTCAATGAGGAATTATAAGAGCAAGAACAATTATACCAAAAAATTTTACAGCAGAAAAGTTACTTTTTCTGCTGAATGCAGCTAATAATAAATCCAGATTTGTACAAAAATAAATATAATTTGCGATATATATTCTGACAACATTAGCAAAAATAAGCCAAAAGTTGAGCAAAGTTGAATCTTATTAGATTTCTTTCACGCATGGATTGTAAAAAAGTTGATAATGAATTGGTAAAATGAATTACATTTTCGCGATCAGTTTTTCATTAATTTACATAAAAGTAATATAGTTAGTGTGTTTCATTAATATGTAACGAATGTATGATATTACGTGTGAACAATTTTCTTGCTTTAATGAATAGGATTCATATCTATAGGATTCATGAGTTACGTATTTGATTTTTATGATCTGTCACTCAAGATTACATCTTTTCTTTGACAACAAATTTTTCGAGAAAGGCATGTACAAGTTTAACTTGTTCGCATCGGACACGGTTCAGTACCTAGTTACACATGAAAATATCTTTATGATTTTGACAATTTTTCATATACTTTTTTGGCGAAAATTATAATTACTTATTCTCTCGTTGTTACGTTGCATGAAATAGTAAAAAAATTTTATCACTTCCATGACGGAATATATAATATATATATATATAACGGCGTATACGAACCTAACAACTAGGCTCGTCAATTAAGTTACGTGTATTCTTTTTCTTTCGATCGTTATAAACTTTAAGAAAATGTCAACATATTATCATTTTCTATTATAAAACTATCGATGGAATGGCCGATCGGAAAGGGTCTGGGCAGTTCGGCATCGTTCGCGGTATGTCTCGCGGTGTGCTTTTGGCATTGGTCTCTTTTGCAGAAAGAAACTGACCTCTACGAATTCGGCAAGATCTCAAGACGATCTTGAATTATGTTCAGGATTGTGATTTTGTATTATTCAATTCTTCGACTGAGATCGGTACCGTAATATCTACGGCGTGATAAAATATTGGACGGAGGGGTAATAAATACATTAAAATCTTTTTCTAATTTGCCAGGCATGAAAATCTTGTTAATCTTCTCGAATGTTAGCCAGAAAACGAAAATCGAGTTGCTAAGCAAGAAGAGTATAAAGTTTGAATTTTGTAGAAAAATCCATCTTTGTTAATCGAATTTACTTTAAATAATATCAAGCAAGTATAGTTTATTCTCATACTTGATATTAATAATATAAAAACATATAATTGTTTGAAAGAGAGTAATAACAGTCAATCTATTAATATAAAAGATAATTATAAAATATTGGTAAGTCTTATTAGCCGAAGATTATCCTTCGATACGTACTTTGATATAATTTTTTTATTACACGACATACTTGTGGTGATTGTCTCTTGGAGATTCCCTCTCAGTTGTGGTGATAAAATATTGGACGGAGGGGTAATAAATACATTAAAATCTTTTTCTAATTTGCCAGGCATGAAAATCTTGTTAATCTTCTCGAATGTTAGCCAGAAAACGAAAATCGAGTTGCTAAGCAAGAAGAGTATAAAGTTTGAATTTCTGTCTCTTGGAGATACTTACGCTGGAAATTTTAATTATTTTTTAATATATTTTTCAGAATATACAAGTGAATCAAGGACTACTAAAAACATTAGGCATGTCGCATCCAAACTCGGACATTATTTGTGCAATTGATCAAAATTTTTTATTCGATGAGAAGATTACTAGTGAAGATGATTTCATTTTGTTATTGGATAACACAGATGAAAACATTCAAGGTCTTACCATGACATTAGAGACGCAAATTGCTCTAAGATAGCCACTTTAAATTGCAACGGATTGAGAATTGAACAGCATGTTGAAAGCAATAACTTATTCTTAATATCAGTAGTTAAATATAAAAAAAAAATATAAAAATATAAAAATATAAATATGAATAATTCTTATTAAGAATGCACATTATCAAAAAAATTGAATTTTAATATATATAATATAATAATAATAATAAAATATAATAAAAATATAATAATAAAATATAATAATAATAATTCTGTACGCGCGCGTTAAATATGTAAATTGTATTTACATTTGTATATGTTTTGATTCGTATATGTTTGATGTTTTGTTTGTGTGACTTGAGATTATTAAACTAAATTGTCCTTACAGAGGAGAAATCGTTTCTGATTATAAATATTATAAACGCTCTGAAAAGACATTGCCCTTAGTTCCATATATACTAAAGATGACAGATCAACCTAACAATTGCAAATTTTCTAATTGCTAAATTTTAGTTATCATCTTCGATTTCATCAAATATCAAGACAAAATTTTTATTATTACATTAAAAGTAATATTCTCATATTATGTACATACATACCATTACATTTTCGATTTCAATAACGAAGAATATAATCCAGATTTGTACATAAAAGAAGTGAAGATAAATGGTGTTGTTGACATCATTAAGTCAAAAGGATAAACCGAGAAACTGATCTGATTGTGAGTTGAAATTATTGAATCTTATTGAATCTTTTCAACGCATGAATCGCAGAGAATCGATAACGAATTGGTAATGAATTACATTTGTCGCAGTTAGCATAGTTCATTAATTGATGTACAATAAGAGTTATATGTATTAAGTTATACTAATGGATGATTTTCTTGCTTTGATAAATAGAATTCTTATTTACAGAATTAACGGATTTTGTATCTGACATTTTATGATCAATCAGTCGATATTATTTCTTCGGAATAAATAAATTTTTCGTCGTGAAGATCATGTTTTGGTTCACGGTATCTGCACCGGGCACGGTGCTTTTATATGGAGAACGTAACCAAAGTTGCGTAGCAGCCGGCTTAGACATGCGTATCTTACATTCTCTTCATTTCCTATAGAAGTAGTTCGAAGACAATTTATTGAAAAAATAAAATTCTCCAGTGTTCGATTACACATGAAGATACTTTTACGCATATTTCTCTTACATTTTTGTAATAAAAATTACGATCACATACCTAATCGTTCTGAGTTGTTTAAGAGAGTGAAAAAATTATATTACCTAATTGACGAGCTTCCCCGGCAATTACAAACCCAATAACCATGCACATTAGTTAAGCTTATAAGCTTTCTTTTTTCTTCTCGTTATTATTAGCTACCAAAAAGACATCATTATAAAATCATCTTTCATTGTGGAAGTTTCATCGGAATTACCGATGAGTGAGGGTCTGGGCAGTTCGGCCTCGTTTATTGTATGTTTAGCGGCATGTTTTTGGCGTTGGCGTCCTACCTACTGAAAGGAAAGGTCCGCTACAGATTTAATTCTAATGATCTTGTACATATAACGGAATATGGTTACGTTTGTGAGGAAATTATATACAATTCCTCCAATGCAATCAACATAATAATATCTGCGTATAGCATAATAAAAGTATTTAAAGAGGAAACACTGATGTCAAACATTTTTTCTGACGTGCTAAGCTTGAAGATCCTCTTCGAATGTTAGCAAGAAAATCGAGAAAAATATTGAAATGAAAGTAAAAGATCATTTATCTCCTTCCGTTGACCTTATACTAAATAGGATCGAAACTGTATCAGAAAAATTTATTCGAATCCTTCAGAAGATTGACGAAAAAACGCTTTTCTTAAAACAGCAGAAGATAGTTGAAACTAATTCAGCTCGTCTCATAAACTACTATAAAGATTTAGTGATAAGTCTCATTCTACGAATTTTTATATAATTTAATGCACATGTTTAGAACTATCTCTTAAAGTGATTATTTTTCCCGTATGTAGCTATACGCTGATAATTTTAATCGTCTTCTAATGTTCTTTACAGATTCTCATTAACATGAATCAGGGATTATTAAAAGCATTAGACACGTTACATCCAACTTAGACATTATTTGTGCAATTGCGCGGGATTCTTCACTTGCAGGAAAAATCGCCAATCGTGGAGATGGATACGCATTTATTTTGCTGTTACCAGGCAATTCAGATGAATTTCCTGAAGAACATTCAAAATCTGATCAAGATATTTGAGTCACGTAATTTCTCTGCCAAGATAGCTAATTTGAATTGTAGCGAAATAAGAGTTGAATAATATATTGAAATTAATCATTAATATAAATAGTTGAATATAAACAACGAATAAAAAAGCTAATTCTAAGAATTTATGACTCATATTAGGTAAAAAGTTTTATATAATACATTTTGTATTAACGCATTAACGGACTAAGTAGAAATACGGATTTGTCGAATTAGATAACAGAATTCTAGTGAGAAATGATAATAGAATTGACATTGAATCGATGTCGATTCGATATTGAAATCATCGATTCGACATCGATTCCATTGTCTTCCATTTCTCATTGGGATATTAATAAAATAATATAAGCTATTTGCTTCTAAAAATATGTAATAAAATACCTATTAGATATATAGATATATATTTTATGTATATAATATATACAAATATATATATAATATAAACATAAAAATGTACGTAATAGGCATTGATATATAATAAATGATTTACACGTACAATAATAATAGATCTAATATCATTATCACATACTTTATTGTAAGCAAATATTTTATATTACTATTCCATCATCTATCTTATCATATATTCGATGCATAACTGATTACTTTTAAAACAATAAACTCTTAAGAAGTTTTCTATTCGTCAATAAATATAAAATGAAATATGAAAGATGACAATGACATTTGCTGTTCTTTGATAGATAGATTGAGTCATATTCAATCATATTGTATTTATATTTGTGTTTATATTCCTGTATGTCATTTATCGAATTAAATTATCCCTTACAAAAAAGAAATTATTCTTAATCTCAATGGCTCAATGGTTTAGCAGAGAAAGCAGCTTTACAACTGTTGCAAAATTCTTGAACAGGATTAATTTATATATTTAGATCCAGTGAAAAACTATAAGGATATGACAAATCATATCAAAGAATTTTACAAAACTGCTTTTTCTGAGCAGCTGAATACAGCTAATAATAAATCCAGAGTTGTACAGAAAATTGATTTAATTTGCAATATATTCTGACGATAATATCAAATACGAGCTAAAAAGTTGAACTGAGCAAAGTTGAATCTTATTAGATTTTTTTCACGCATAGATCATAAAAATCAAAATTGGTAAATGAATTGATAAATGAATTACTTTTGTCACAGTCAGTATTTTTCATTAATGTACAACGAAAGTAATATGGTTAGCATTTTTCATGAATGTACAACAAATGTATCATATTAAATACTTGGATGATTTTCTTGTTTTAATAAACTGGGTTAATCTATAGGATTTGCGAATTATGTATTTGATTTTTACTATCTCTGTCACTCGACATTACACCTGTCCTTTGGATAATAAATTTTTCGACGTGAAAGGCAGGTGCAAGTTTAACTTGTCCCCACCGGGCATGATGCTTTTATACGAAGAACCCATAAAATGTAACAAAAGCTATATGTAGCAGCCAGCTTAGACATACGTATTACATTCACATTTTCTTCGTTTCCTATAGCAGTAGTTGGAACAAATTTTATCGAGATTTCTCCAATATCCAATTAAAAGTACTTTTACACGAATATTTCATACTCTTCTATATGGCAAAGATGACAATTGTACACTTACTGGTATTCAGTGATATAAAACAGTAAAAGATTTTATCACTTCCTTGATGAGCTATAATGGTATTTATGAATTCAGCATCCACACTCGTCAATTAGCTTACAAACTTTCTGTTTTCTTCTCATTTCTATCAGTTATAAAAAAAACATCAATATAAAATCATCTTTTTATTGTGGAACTATCAATGGAATTTCTAATCAGAAGATTTGGGCAGTTCGGCAATGTTTGCGGTAAAATATTTGTTAGATTATATTTTTGTAAAGAATGAAATGTTTTTGCGTGCTTTATATATTATTTAATTTTTACATCAATAATCTCACTAGAAATCAAAACTTGAAAAATTAATGAATAAATATTCATAATATCCTTCGAAATTAAAGAAAAAAAAATTGAATTATCCGTAATTTTTAATGACACATATTTTCTTCTATGCATTTAAAGTTTTGATATTCAAAATTCGTAATTAATATTTTAAATTTAAATTACGACAATGTTCTCTGAACATTTTTCGCTGATCATATATCTCTAAAGCTGAACGAAAAATTTCGTTTGATTTTGCATTAATGTATTAAATATGTAATACATAAGCAGAAATATAGAAGCTTTATTATTCCTTCCTCTTCATGTTTGTTTCTTGTTAAATCATATTCGAGCTGTACATCATGTTTTAGCATTCTTATTAAAACGATAATTTCGATAATTTAGAACAATAACAATAACAAGATTCATAAAAGAAAAAGAACACATTCGGGATTTAAATAATATTTCTTATATTTCTTTCATACATCAGCCAGGACACCAGGTGAATTCGGGCGCAAGAAATTTCTCTTGATTTTCAACGGGCGTAATTAAGCGCGCGCGCCACGCCGAGCTGACGCGACACGGACAATAGATGAGCCGGGCGGGTAGCCTTAATTAAATGGTAAAGGCGGCCGATTAGTTGGCAAACTCGCGATAGTGGAAATTTATTATATCCAATGCAACCCGCGGGGTCTCACGTACGCGCTCCTTCACCGTCTTTCGTGCCGTCGTTACCGCACCCCGTTGCCCATCTTCCGTACAACCAGGCTGGCGAATCGGGGGTTGGTTTGTCGCGCATAAATCCTGCCGCTCTCCAGATGGGATACACGCCGTCGCGCGACGATCAGATAGATGCTTAATGCAATTATAC